ATTTGTAAACCAATTAGTATATGCTGTATTTACTGTTAATAATAGAAAAAGTGGTGACAAAATTAAAATGGGTGACATTTTCTCACTAAAGGTTTGCTAACATGACAGGAGAAAGAGAAAATCACCAGTCCCTTGAAGAAGGTGTAACCATATCACTTAAACTGTGGTAAAAAAAAAATGGGGTATGAGAAATTGCTGCAGTAATATGTTTAAAGACTGTTAGGCAATGTTAGGTTTATGGAGATTCCAACAAGAATGAGTCAAAATGGCCGCTTGGAAACATACAAAATAATAGATTGCTTGCAAAGGCAATAAGGCAAGTAGTTGCTCTACACAAGGTTAAAAAAAACAACATTAAAAGAAGTTGAAGCCCATTACAGCATAAACAATGTATTTTTTGTAAATGGTTAATAACTGCGTCTTGCACAGAACCCATTATGAGCTTTAATGTACTAGGGATTAAGAAATACATTATGTTTTATCAGTGGACGCACTGCACAAAGTACTTAATCCAGTGTTAAATCCTCATTGAAAATATACTGTCTGTATACAACAGTAATTCTCCCTTTAATTCTTTGTTTTTCACATAACTAATTATGTCTTACAATTTTGAGCAAGACAGAAAAAAAAAACCTTGAAAACATTGAGCACATTAATTTTATTTATACACTATTTGCTCTGTGAACAGATACAGTTATACATTATGCATTGCTTTATTCAGTAATAATTTCATAGACAGGAAAGGAAGGACTAAACTGTAAAGTCGATGTGATTTTCGAATCAGAAATAGTTGTTATTTATCATAGCTTACAGTGAAATAACAAGAAAAAAGATAATAGAACAGGGATAATTTTTAAATTGTAATTTTTCCTAAAACATGATACGATTTCAACTAATGCACTCTAATTAGACAGTAAATCAGCAATGAGAGATGCAAAGTTAATTTTAATTGTCGAACTGGTCATCTTAACACACAGGATTCACGGTTAAGGGCAAACCTCTCTTTGGTTCATAAGGTGTTGTCCTGGTAACCAATTTGATGCAGTCAATAATAGGACAGACACTGACACATAGTGTGCATCCAGTACAGTTGTCATTGACAGTGGGCAGGTGGGTCTGAGGATCAAACTCTATAGCCTGCAAATAGAAATAAATGGTTTGGATGTCACTCTAATAAAGGTCAACAGTGCCACAATTTAAGCATCCACATTTTCATTACAAGACCTGTTTGAGACTTATGTGCAGTCCTGTATTGTAGCCATAGCAACAGTTTAGCTGAAAGAAGGAATCACATTTAAGCCAAAAAGCAAAACCACGCTGGTCAAATTCTAACTTTATTTTATGTAAAAATTGAGAATATTAAAATGTTGTAAAATCTTAGATTTACCACTCATGGCATTTGAAATGTTTTAAAAAAATTTTAAACGTATACTTTATACAACTAACAAAAGCTGCAACAGATTTGTTGCTATGACTAAACATGCATTTAACTACCAATGAACATCTTGTATTCATCAAGTACAGGGTGTGCAGAAATATTTGAGTTTCCACACTTAAGTATCAAAATATATTTACGCACCACCTTACTTACAAGAATGGGGATTTTTGCCTAAAAGGGTTTGATCACCAGAAGATGGTGTAGTAATATGTAGTTTTATGATAAGATGGATTTTAGAATCAGATCCACCAAGGTCTATGGCCGGTGGTCACTTTTTATTAAAACAGGAAATTCTTATGTAAAGCTAATGCATTACAATTCCCTACAAAAACTAAGCTCAGTTTAATCCCTTAAGGGCCATGGCTATTTTGAGATGCAGCACTTTTGCGACAAAGGCCTTGACTGCTGACTCCATAGATCACAAATCTTGTTACCATGTTAAGTAGGTAAGGGCAACTGCCAGAGCTTTATTCAAACCAGCACAACCAAATACTGTCAGCTGCTGGTTTTACCCAGAAGACAGGTACACTTTAAACTTCTTCCAGAGCCTCTTCAGCCTGTCCTTCGTCATCAACCAAATTCAGGCTGAGACTCCTAAAGCCCGTCCGAGCATTATTCATTTACCAAACTTGGCACATGCTCCAAACCAAATATTAAATTCCAAGCAATGCAGAACCAATCATCACAACAAGGCCAATAACAGAAGAGAATCCATCAATAACTGGTTCACGAAATGAACTGCCCTAAGGTTATCTGTGCAGAAAAGAACCTGCTGCTTTGCTGGATTCCCCTTTGTCCTGTGAGTCATCTGAGACTTCTGTCTCACTCTGGGGCACAGACACCACTCTGGGAGCTGACTGCTGAGCCAGTCTTCCAAATGACATCCTGATGTCTGGGAGTGCAGGCCTCTCTATATGGTAAGGCTTCTTGTGCTTGCGTCCCATTGTAGCCTCTGGGGATAACGTGATTTCCCTCACTGGTAAGGGGGGGGGAGTGGGTTATTGGAGAAACTCTGGTGGTCTCCTGAGAGTCTAAGAGCAGCGGGAGTTGCCAACTCTTTCCCGCCCGTGCATAGAATGCCTCAGTTCTGACCTTGTCTAGGAGTGCTGAGTCCCCATAATTCTGCCCCAAGCCGATGGGAATATCAGCTGCACGTGGTTCACCGAGGTATGAGGAGCGATCCAGGTCATAAGTGCTGATTTTTAGTGGCAAAAGCCCCTTTTATTATTTAGGATCGCCCGGACCTCTTATAAAGTGCCTCTGCCGGCTCGGTAGTTTAGCTCCGCCCCCTCTTTGATTATTTATTTTATCCAAGGGCATGTGTAAACCCAGTGTAGAATCATTACATACTGGACCCAGAGAGGGGGTACTAAACTCTGGTCCTGAATCCATAACTCCTGTAAGGCACACCTAAGGACAGGGAGGGGGCCCACCTGTGGACCAAGTGTAGGCCCTGAATTCTGCACAGGGCTAAAGCGCTCTAATCCTGCCCTCAGCAACTGCACTATTTGACTTTTAGACCCACTACTCCCCGCTGGTTCTGTCTGCGGAGCCCAAGCACGAGTACAAGGATACTTACGACGCACTTCGCTCTCTTTGGCTCATCAAACCACACTGGAAGCATTAATTCTGTGGAAAATTTTGGCCGAATTCTGGCGTCTAATAAACACAGATTCTAGTTTGTGAACTGCTTCTGAGTTCTCCAGTGAATGCTCTCCAAATTCCTCCTGTGAATTGCCGCAGAATCCGGGCATTTGCTCCGGGGATTGGCCTTTTTTGGCATCTTTGCCAAGCATTCATTCTACCACAATTTCCTCTTTTCTGTTTAAGTGCAGCAATAAATATTATAAACCATTTTAAATAAGAAAGAGAACATTCTTTTAATACCCTATGTATGTATACACAACACAAAATTAAATATCAATATATGTAATCCAAGTCCTAATTCTGTCCCTAATCCCAACCTCAAATCCTACCCCTAATGCTACCTTTGAGGGATTCCCTCTGCTCATGTCAGTACTTATATCATATGCAGTACAGAAGGCTCTGTGACAGTACTGACAGTATAGTGCACTCTGTACTGTGTGATTGCATCATGAGGAGATCTCTCTCTCATGCTGGAGCTCCAGTTACTGTGATCAGCATTGATCACTGATCTAAAGAACAATTTAAAATTGCAGAACATGCCCAGCTGCGATATTTAAATGGTTTTAAAGGACTACGTGCTGTGGTCACTTAGAGCGCTACACATAGCTCTTCTGTCAGTTTGGGACCACTAATTATGGCCCAACAGACAGAGAGGACGCCCAGGTATCAGAAGATTCCAGGGGGTTCAAGTTTTTTGAACAGGAGCAGAGATCACTTTGTCGCAGTTCTTAAAGGGATTTAAAGGCCAGTGCTTATTTAAAGAGCTGCACAGATCTCATCTCTCAGTCTGGTGCCACATATGGTGGCTCTGGCTGACAGAAGGGATCCTCAGGTATCAAATGATACCTCAAACCCATTGGTACCAGTGAGAGTTTACCCCTGCTTGTACTTGTATTGAACAATGGCATAGACTGTCATGCTGTCTGTAAGTGATTAAAATCCAAGGGTGACCTTTTAACATTACTATTTACATCACTTCTGTTCTATCTTATAAACAGTTTAATAGAAACAAATAATAATGACAACATTTTCTATAAGTGTTATACTTTTGAATTTGAGCTCAGTATCTAATTTATATGTCAACTGGAATCATGATAAATGATATGCAAGGATCGCTCAATATATTTGATGGATTTATGTACCCATAGCACACAAATCCATTTTTTTAATGCTCTTCCCTGATAAACTAAACAAACTACATCTGCACAAATCACTCCAGGAAATGCAGATCATTTCATATTTGCTGTTTGACAAATGTATGCCTGAGGTTTTTATCTTATTTGTTTACTATTTCCACACATAATCTACTACAGAAAATACATTATTGTATACTATGAATTAAAAAGTATTTAAATGAACACTATAGTGTCAGGAATACAAATCTGTATTCCTTGCACTATAATGTTAAATAGAGTTGAGCGGACAGCTGGATGTTCGGGTCCGGTGGGTTTGGCCAAACTTTGAAAAAAAGTCCGGGTTCGGGCTCGAACTTGACCCTGAACTCAAACCCCATTGAAGTCAATGGGGATCCGAACTTTTGGAAAGAGCTAGAGAGCTGTAAAAGCAAGTAAACTGGGAATAAGAGTAGGTCAAGTGCCCTGCAAACAAATGTGGATAGGGAAATCACTTAAAATAACATAATAATTAAAAATACAGCTGAGCCATAAAATAGCACTAGATGGAATCTTTGATTTTAGCTTTGGAAGAACATACATCAAAATCTAAAGCATGATTGTCAGGAGGATCACCATAATTATCCATTTGAGAGAGGGTTGGAGTGCAGGGTATTCTCTTTCATTGTTCAAACTGAGCTCAACTCCTGATGCATGGAGAAAAGGCCTTCACAAGCCTCTGCTAATGTGAACCTAGTTTATACTAAGTGACCCATAGGTTGAGGAGTTGGTGAGCGTGGTGGTGTAGGTGGAAGCAGTGGTGGAGGAGGAGGATGAGGTAGCTAACACTGTTTTATATATATATATATATATATATATATATATCAATAAAAGATTTTAATTGTGGTAGCCCCAAAATATTGGGACATATAAAAAAAGACAGAGTAGCTGTTGACATTATAGTTGCGCAGGCACTTTGTTGACTCTAGAGAACCTCGGGCCAATCGCACATCCCCGTGGCAGCGACTTTGTATGCGGATGTCATCCACATCAACTTTCGATGCAAGTTTCTGCGCCTACCATAGTGACCACAGGTAATCGGGAATCAGGGCTCCATTCCGTACAGGGACCCTGAGAAATGGCTACCACATGCAAGGAAGGCAGCAGGCGCACAAATACCCACTCCCGACGCGGGAAGGTAGTGACGACAAATAACAATACAGGACTCTTTAGAGGCCCTGTAATTGTAATGAGTCCACTTGAAATCCTTTAACTCTGATCAATTGGAGGGAAGTCTGGTGCAGAGCCACTGACTCGTGCGTGCTGCAGCTGAAACTCCACTATCGCCTGCTGCTGCTCGCACAGTCTCATGAGGCGGTGAGCGGGAAGGCCGAAGTTACGCTGGTGAGCAGCAGCAGGGTGAGAATGCCCAAAGTGCACACAGCCGCTACAGTGAATGTCATGCTGTGCTGGTGCCTCTGTGTGACCAGTGCCTCATCCTCCAAACTGCACACGTCACTCGCATGACCTTGATTCCATGTGGGGTCTAGGACCTGATCATCCTCCACATCATCTTCCACCCACTCCTCAACCCTGCCCTCCTTGCCGGTATGCACACTGCAGAAAACCACAACAGTTGGCACCTGTGTTTTTCCAGCATGTAAAGTCTGCAAAGGACATATGGAAATTGTTTTAGAATTGTATCCAGGCAACAGTTTTCCCTATAAACTGACCTCTCATTTTGACTTGTGAGGGTATTGCCCCAAAATTACAATATTGTTTAAGTACCTCTTAGCTATTGATAACTGGTTTAAAGATAGCAGCTTGTTATCTGGTCGTTTCTAGTGTAGAAAATACCAATCTGTTTTCTATCACTTAGATCTGTGTAACAAGTGTTGTAGGTGTGAAACAATATTACGAGTGACAGATGTAGTAAATTCGAATCAAAGTTACGCTTCGATTTGACTATCAGATATGACGTGAACACCTCAAATATACTATTTAGCACCAAAAAAAATAAATAAAGAATTTAATTTTTAAAACTCCAATGTAAGCAGCAGATTAGCAGCAAAACAATTAGAATGTTTACAACTGGGCAGTAAGCGCACTATTTGACACTTCTATTTGACGCTCAGATATGAAGTGCACCGCAGGCCGCAAATGTACTATTTAGCAGATTAGCAGCAAAATAATTAGAATGTTTACAACTGCACAGTAAGCGCACTATTTGACGCTTCTATTTGACTCTCAGATATGAAGAGCAGGCCCCAAAATGTACTATTTAGCAGATTAGCATCCAGAAAATTAGAATGTTTACCACTGCACTGTAAGCACACTATTAGACGATTCTATTTGACTCTCAGATATGAAGTGCATGCCCCAAAATGTACTATTTAGCAGATTATCACCCAGAAATTAAGAATGTTTACCACTGCTCTGTAAGCTCACTATTAGACGCTTCTATTTGACTCTCAGATATGAAGTGCACCCCACTAAAATACTATTTAGCAGTTTGGCACTCAAAAAATTTTAAGTTTTAAAACTGCAATGTGACAGCAGTATTTGACGATTCTATTTGACTCTCAGATATGAAGTGCACCCCACTAATGTACTATCCCACTAATGTACTATTTAGCACCCCAAAAAATTTAGTTTTTAAAACTCCGATGTACCCGCGGTATTTGAAACTTCTATTTGACTCTCAGATATGAAGTGCACCCCACCCCACTAATGTACTGGTTTGCAGAATTCTTTCCTAAGCTGTCCCTATCAGCGGCAGCATCCTCTCCCTACACTAATAAGACCGCATGTGCATGCGGCGCTACGCGACTCCAGCTTACATATAGAGGCTGGGTCACATGCTGCACTGGCCAATCACAGCCATGCCATTAGTACACGAGTCAAACACTTGTTGATTGGCTGCCATTAAATCGCCGAACACTGAACTCAAACCCGAACATACAGTCCGGGGTCCAAAAAAACCTTTACAGTCCGGGTTCGCTCAACTCTAGTGTTAAACTAACTATTTAGGTTCCTGATCCCCCTTAAATCTCTGTAAAAAGGTGTAGTGAGCCATTCTCGTGTGGCTGGCTCTGCCTCCATGGCTGAACTCATCAGTCTAGATGATCTCAGCCAATCCAAGTCTTTCCCATAATAAAGTATTGGGAGACAATTGCACATGTGAGGGGAAAACACCACTCTACGTCAATCAGCATCTCCTCATAGAGATGCATTGAATCAAAGCCTCTCTAAAGGGAATCTTCAGCATCTGCATGCAGAGTGCAGAGATGCTGAACGCCAGATCTGTACACTGTGAGAGACACTGTACACTCTGAGAGACTGCCACTAGAGGTGTAACTATTCAGTATTGTAAATTCTGCCTTTTCTCTGTCTTTATTGCATATTCTGTTTTATTGAGAATTTCTTTTCCTGCTCTTTTAATAGCCTGCTAGTGCCTGCAAGGGCTCCTGTGTGTAATTAAAATAATTTTATAGAGCAAGTGGAAAATGTGTAAAGTAAGAAAATTAAACTACTTTTTCATGCAGGCTGTGTGACTCACATCCAGGGGAGGTGTGGCTAGGGCTGCATGGACAGAAACAAAAGTGATTTAACTCCTAAATGGCAGAGAATTGAGCAGTGGCACTGCAGTGGCAGGATGTATACACCCCTATTAAGCTAAGTTGTTTGGTGCCTATAGTATCCCTTTAAATTAAAACCAATGATGTTTATCAGCAGTTTATCAGCTCCTGATAAGCCATTTAATGGTTTTGATCAATTCAATTACAGTTGCTAAAGGTTTATTGGGAGACAATAAATATACATCCTAATATCAAATCTGATTACCATATTTTAAATTGGAAATATTGGGTTTGGCGTATCAATTCCATTTATTGGGGACGTAATCTTTAATTAATGGTTTATCAGCAACCTAAAAGTTGTTGATAAATGCTTTTTTTCATGCAGAGAGTTTACTATATGCCCAATGGTAAAACTAGCAGCCATCATGTAATTAAAAACGCTGGTATAAGGGAGGTTTAAGATGGTGGCATAGCAAGTCAGGGTATGTTTACTAAACAGTGAGCAGCCTGTGTCTGCTCACTATCATATAAAACAAGCAACCAGACAGACTTTTTTCTTTTTAATTTATTGTTTAGAAACTAACAGCGTTAAATTTATCGCTGCTTTATTTTGGGCAGCTGACCATTTTGTCAGTTTCAATAGATTGAATTTCATCTGGCATTAGAACAAGCTGATTTTTTTAAAAACAAAAGACCAAAAAAAAGTTGTTAATTATTGACTGAATTTTGTCGATAGAATTAAATTAAAGCCCAAATTACAAAAAAGAACCTTCTTTGTGTTTTATAGATTACACTACTAACAAAAAGTAATGTACAACATTTGTTGTGAAAAGTTCCCAACTTAGAGACCAGTTTGAAAATGTATATCTACCATACAAACTAAATTATATATTTAAAGCAAGATTTCATGTTTAACATTGTGTATTATTTTGTAATTCATATGTTTAAGTAAATGCCACTTTTTAGTGCATCTCCTTAGCTTAGACTTGCTCTATAAATGCAGTTACGTCCTTACTGACCTGCAGAAGCACAGCTCATTTGCTGGGTATCTAAAAGGCGCTCTGCATGGTCCAACACTTCAAACTGTGCGTGTGCAAGGACTAAAGATGGCTGCCCACATGATGCAAAAGTATGCTTGGAGATGTGCTAAAAAGAGTTATTATTCTATATGGAATTTATTACTTAATAATTCACAGCAAGGGTATATCACATTTTTTTAAATTTTATTTTCAGTTGTAATAACACGATTGTCGTGTTTCTTAAAGGCAAAGCATTTTTACCATGATATTTAGTTGTAATTTACTTCTTATCCATGCATCAGCAAATATTAAACACAGTTTTTAAAGAGACATTTACAGATTTCATGTCATGCCCAACATAAATATGTAACTCTCCATACTGCATGGAAAATGGGAATTATTTTTAAAAGTCATAATTTAGTTTAGTTTTGACTACTTAAATTTGTGGACAGCTAAAGGAAAGCACGTAAAAGTAAATGCTTAAATTCAGCTTAATTTTGGAATTAGCTTGTGTCATTAATAAGATTTTGAGTGGTATACAAGTCAATGCATTTTTAAAGTAATTTTGAAGCCAAAGCATTTCTTAAACCTTATTTATTCTATTGTAACAGTATCACTAAATTTTTGCTTTGATAGATCTTCTGAGTACAGAAATATATTTCAGGTTTACCTCCCTTTCCCTCACCCCTCTTCACGAATAAATACATCAGTGACATATGGGGGTAAATCATTTTTAAAGGGAGGATGTAACACATAGTGGCAAATTTATCAAGACAAAATATGTGCAAATTTAGATGCAAAGTAACAAATATTTAGACATATTTGTCTCCATTTTGAGTTTTCCTTATTAAGCTCTTTACCCAGAAGTGCACCTGCATTTTCCTTGACAAACCTCTCCAGGCAGATAATGCAACACTGTCTATATTTATCTCTAATTATGCCCTTTACAGTTATCATGCATTAAAGACAAAATTGTAACCTCTTCAACACTGTACAATGCAAGAGATTTTTTTCTTCAAGGTTTGGATTTAAAACCAGGAGAGAATTGACTACAGTTAACTCCAAGACTCCCGATACTTTATGAATAAGAGTGAGACTAGTAGCCAACTTGGTCACTGTGTGACTTTAGGCTCTGGAGTTCAGAGACACACAGCATTAATATTGCTGTATGTCTGTTGGTGTTCTGCAGAATGGACTGTGCTCTGAGAGCAACTGTATGCCAGATAGTGACAACTTTATCAGCAGTTATATTTTGGGCAGTTGTCCTGTTTATCAGGTTTGATTGCTTGAAATTTGGCTGGCATTAAATTCTACTGAAATAAAAAAAATATATCGACTTAAAATAGTTGATAATTATTGACTGTATTTTGCCTATAGAATCAAATTAAAGCCCAGATTGCCAAAAAAAAAGAAAAGAGTATATTCTTTATGTTTTATAGATTATACTATTTGTACAAAAGTACAACTCCAGTTCTGGAGCCATCAGTTTCAGTATTTACCCAATAATCATGTCATGCATATATGCATATCACAATCATTAATGCATAACAGTTCCATAACAGTCACTATTGCTTCAGTTTTTATTTGACTCTTCCAATAGGTCATTGGCAT